TGCAACCTGGCTGAACAGAACAGGCGAGGTTGCAGACACCCCCCCCAGCAGACGGCCACGGCCCACAGCGGGACGCTGCCCCAGGTCGCGCCTCCAGAGCAGGCCCCCACGCCCCAGGAGCCGATGGCGCCGACGGCCCTCCTGCGGAAGGACGAGGCCCCTCCAACCAGACAGGCAAGACCGAGGGCGAACCGGATGCCCCCGACTGGGACGGGGACGCGAAAAGCGAGTCAGACACAGTCAAAGACACGAGCCCGGCGGTTAGCCCGACACCAGTGGCGGACGATGACGAGGAAGAGGATCCCTCCGACCCCCTAAGAGACTTCAAAAACAAGCCCACGAGGCCCAATGCCTGGACCCCGCACTCGCAGACCGTCGACCGGGCTGCCACCCGGGAGGTGAGGAGGGCGAGAGACAGCCCCGAAAGGGCAAGCAGCTCAACCTGGGACATCATGGGTGCCAGGGACGACCGCACCCTCAGCCGCACGGCAGGGGGCAAGGGACGCCTCCGGCCCGCGTCAGAAGACGCCAAGGACGGGGAAGGGCGTGCAGCCAAATCACCAAGGGGCAATCCCTCGCGGGTGGAAATCAACGAGGCGCCCTGGAGAGACGCCAGGATCGCACAGCCACGCCGACGTCGGAAGGGATGAACCAGTGCAGGACAAGATTATACGCCTGCAAATGACGCTGGGAGGAGCATTCAATGGCGCATGGGCCGCATGGGTCAGGCGGGCTGCCCCGAGACAGGAGCTCAGCGGAAGCCAGAAGAGCGACCCCAAACTGAACGCGGTCCAGACGTGCGCTGAATTCCTCGAGGCTTGGAGCGACGCAGGGCACGATGCTTACAAGATGGGCAGGGAGCTTGGGCTCAGCGTCAACTGGACAGCGGTCAAGGACAAGCACATGAAAATCATGCGCCGCGACTCCCGCGCACACGCTCAGCGCGACTACGACAGCAACAGCAGGCCCGCCCCATGGACAGCTGAGGGCAGAGCGGCCGCCGCCGCGGCCACGCAGGACCGCTGGGCAGGTGCCATCGGGACAGCCACCCGCAGCCAGTGGCAGGACTGGCAGGAATGGAGCTCGTGGGATCGGCACGAAGCCCCATGGACGGACTCAGATTGGAAGGGCAAGGGCAAGCGGTACTCCCCCAGGGGGGGCGACCGGCACACGGACAAACGCGCCCGCTGGTGGGCAAGGGACGACTCCTACACCCAGGGCTGACAGCGCAGGGCTTGCCAGCCTCAGCACCTCTGGCCCTCCTGGCCAACGTGCTCTGTCCCCCCTTTCCCGCTCTTCGTGCCCCTAAGGGGCCACTTTCACCTCGCCGCGCCCGGCTCAGGCCGCGATACCTAGGGGCAACCTCCGCTGGGGCGCAGGTTACCCTACATCTCACGCACAGCGTGGCATAGCCAGACAGCCCACACTGGACAAGTGGACCAACTCCCCCCCTTTTCGGGCCCAGCGGGGGGGGGCGCCCCCCCAGCTCCCGACATCTCACCCCCCTGAGCGATAGGGGAACCGCCCGCCGGACAGACAGGTCCCGGACAGACCCACCTTGCTGTCTGACGACGACAGCCACCCATCCGCTGGTGGTGAGGGGACGGCCACTGGAACCCCCCCCCCATGCGCCTGCGGATCGACCTGTGCAGGCCGCAGCTTTGGCAACATCGACTCTAGCGGCGATCAGCTGCGACCCCCGAGGATCAACTTTCAAGGACGCACCCATCTTCACGGACCTGAGCGGCGATCAGCTGCGACCCCCTGGACCAACCACTGCTCCCACCCCAAGTGTGGGAGGACCCGAGCAAGGGGAGAGGCGGCTTTCCCCCCGCCTCCTGCTGCTGGAGCCAGACGGGCGCCCCCCGCTCTGGGCGACGGGGGCCACCGACGTCCTGGCAAGACAGCGGGGTGGCGCCCCCCTCCCAGGGCCGCCCTCGCCCATCGCTGTTTGGGGTTGGTTCCCCACCCCTGCGGAGGTTCGGTGCGGCCCTGGAGGGCCACGTGGCTCACGGTGGCGGGCTCAGGGCCTGGGTGGCATGCGCCTGCGGCGGGCGTGGCCGGTCTGGCAGCTGGCGGCCCTCCTGCTTCTCACGTTGTAGCCCCCCCGGCACACCGCCTTGCGACTACATCACATCGCCCGTGCCAACGCCGCGTGCCCCCTGAGTTATTGCTCAACCTGTGCCCCCGGAGACCCCTGACTGGGTCTGGCTCGCATCGTGGTACCTCAGCTCCAGTGTATCCATCTCTTTCCTCGCCGGCGATGCTCGCCACGCCAGCGGGCTCTCCCACTCCCAATGACCGCACCGTGCCGGCGCGCACTGGGTGGGTCATAGTCGCACGGCACCCCCCGACACTGTGATGCGGTCCAAGTGGGACTGGCATGTGTGCTGAGTGGTTCAGCCTTTAGCGTCATGGCAGCCTCCCAGGCCCACCTTCAACCCCCCCCCAGTGCGCTGCACCACGGCTCACGACTGCTCAGCCGTTTGGCGTACGCAAGTCGTCCGTTTGGAGTTTGGCGCCTCATCGGCGACTCACTTCCTGCCCATCGAGGTCCGCGGGTCCTGCGCGGCTTGCGATGGCCACTTGAATTCTGGTCATTTTGTCCAGTGCACGTGCCCGAGCTTGCAGTACGCCAGCCAGTTCAGCGTCACCCAGCCTGCAGCCGCCGTCTGAGTGGGCCGGCCGGCGCCTCTGCTTAGCAATTAGCCTCGCCCGTGGCCCGGACGTTGCCCTCGCCGCCTGACCGTTGTCTCGTGGCCGCGACCCAAGAAAAAGTATCCCCACCAGCAGCTTCCTAGCAGTTGCCGTCAGCCCCCTTCCACTCGCCGGCCCGGCCGCTGAGGTGCCGCGTGAGGCTTCGTCCCATCGCTTCAGGTTAATTCGTCTTTGCGCGGCCCGCTCTGACTGGACTCGTCGCTGGCGCTCTCGCCTGTTGCCGCTGACTAAAAAGTATCCCCGCCAGCCCATCCAGAAACGATGTCCAGGCGAGTCGAGGTGGTCAGGGAAGTGCGGGAGCAAAGAGGGGGACGGCCGAACCGTGCGAACGAGGGAGGAGGAGGAGAAGGAGGAGGCTGGATGGATGGATGGATGAGGGAGTGGGGAGGATGAAGATGAAAAGAAAAGGAGTAGGACGAGGAAGGAGGAACAGGAGGAGGAGGGCAAGCATCTCATGGGCGTCTTTTGGTGGCCTCTTGGGACGTCTTGGGGATCTCTCGGCGATCCTGGGGGGCTCTTGGGCGTATTGGGTGCCTCGGGGGGGCCGTGTGGGGTCCTCTTGAGGGCCTCCTGGGGGCCTCTTGGGGGCCTCTTGGGGCCATCTTGGGACCATCTTGGGGCCTCTTGGGGGGGCGCTTCTTCGGGCCATCTTGGAGGGCATCGATCAAAGAAGAGGGGAGTTTTTTTTAGCGCTGCCCCCCCCCAAGAGGCCAAAATGGCGGCCAAAACCCTGGTAAGACCAATGATTTTGGCTTTCTCGCCGAGGCTGTTTTGGGCGCCCTGACCGCTCGCGGGGCCCCCCGTCCAGGTCCAGCGGAGGGGTTAAGGGGGAGGGGTTAACCCTTCCTTGAAGGGAAAGAAGGGGGCTGGAAGAGGAAACTCCCTAAAACACCTAACGCCCAGAGGGCCAGTGGGATTTCCCATTGCCGGGAGGAATCCAAGAACCAGGAACCCGGGAACAGTGCCAGGACCCCAAAACCCAGCAGCCGCACACCGAAATCGGCCTGGGAACCCTGTGGGAACCCTGAACCGGGAACCCGGCAACCCGGAATTGCGAACCCGGGAACCCAGCCGCTTACCGAAATCGGCTCGGGATTTTCGCCGAATTTTCAGTCTCCGCGCGGACCCCTTCAGTGCAAGCATTGCTTGGGGAATCATGACGACGGAGGTCTGGAGTACCCTACATCATTCCCAGAGCTACGGTGGCAGATGAGGGAGTCGAATTAGATGCGAGCTCCGTTGGGTCAACGTGTTGACGCACTCCGTGCGAATGGTCCGCGCGGGTTTCGCGTGCAAACTGGAGGCGCGCGTTGCCGTACCCATCTGTCTGATGCGATTTCTTCGCTCCAGTGAGGGAGCAGACGCGTGGCGCTGCGATTCCAGTTGACAAAGGAGGGACGTTCCTCCCAAATGATGCCATGCCAGCAACACAGGTTTTCGTATTCAGGTTAAGCACGCAGTGATGATGAGATGGACTAGGAGGGTGACACGGAGGGGCGCCCACTATCCAGCAGCCTCACCGCTTCACGCTTTGCTGTTAGGCGCACTTCTTGTAAGACTTGACCCTGGCTTGCCAAAAAAATTGTCCCCCCCATAGCCGAACTCGAACAATCTAGGCGTCAATGCTTGGCCTGTCGACCGTCTCCCTCTCTTTCCCAACCCCGCACTTCTCACAGCCCACTCGGGAGGTTCCCCAATCAGTGCTTGCACTGGAGGGGTCCTAGCGGATATTGAAAGGTTTGGCGAAAGTTTCCCGCCGTCAGCCGGCTGGGTTCCCGGGTTCCCGGTTCCGGGTTCCCCAGTTTTTGGTTATTGTTTCCGGGCCGATTTCGGTGGGTTTTGGGTTCCCGAGTTCCCGGTCGATCTCCTTATCGATCTCTTTATCGATCTCACGATTCATTGTCGATCTCATAATCGATCTCACTACTCATCTCACTCAATCGATCTCACCATGGATCTCAAAGCCATCTGCTGATTGGGTTTTTTCTCTGGTGTAATTCATTCAAGAGCCCGCCTGGTGGGCTCTGGCAGGAGATATTATCTTGAATGCCACTCTTCTATTTTCATTTCTGTCCCACTGCCTTCGGTAATTACTAGGTTTTAAGATTCCGGATGAGCCCGCATAACGGGCGTTTTGGACCGTCTAGCTCCGACAGTAACATGTTTGGTGTGTGTGTGTGGTGTGCGTGTGTGTGTGGTGTGCGTGTGTGTGGTGTGTGTGGTGTGTGTGTGTGTGTCTGGTGTGTAGTGTGGTGTGTGTGTGTGAGGTGTGTGGTGTGTGAGTGTGTTGTGTTGTGCTGTGCTGTGCTGTGCTTTGCTGTGCTGTGTTGTGTGTGCGTGTGCTTTTTCGCGGGGGGCCGAGCCGAACCGAACCGCCCTCTTGCCTCCTGCTCCCTCCGCCGACCTGAGGAAGGGCATCATGGAGGCCGCGAAGGAGAAGACCGAGGAGCTCCAGGAGGAGCTCGACGAGCTGGAGGAGCAGAAGGAGGAGGAGGCGGCGCTGGTCGGCGCTCAGGGCGACGTCACCGTGGCCAGCCAGAAGCTGCTTGCCAGGAACTTCCTGGGTGAATTCCCAAGAACCCCCGAGTCGCGAAAAGATCCGGACGGGAGGTGCTCGGTCTTTTCAGCCTCCAAGGGGCCCTCGCAGGGCAACGGGACCGTCAAGAAACGATTCAGGATGAAAAGCGACAGCCCAGGGGTGTCCATGGCCACAGGGGCCTCCCTCGCTTCCCGCGCGCTGCCAGTTGTTCGGTTTCTCATAGCACGAGGGTTGTTGTGGTAAAGCCGACGAAGGCAAGCCACCTCCCACGTGGTCTTGATAATCCCTTGTTACTGACCTGGCGACCATCCACAGCTGCTAGCTCGACCTTCATATTGTGGCGATCCCGCCTACATGCTTGCTACGTGTACTTGTTCTGGCAGGAGCGGCTGACGGTGCAAAATAAGCAGTGGTGTGATTTCGCTTGCGCCCAACACTGGCCAAACCCAAAGGCTGGGAGCGTCATCTACGCGATGTACAAGAGACCGTGCAATATCATACGCAAGTGTGCTCATGTAGCGCGGGACGGGTTCTTGCAGGCGGGTGCTGTCGCAATGTACGCTTGTTTGGCTTCGCCAAGGATGTGAGAGAACTATCGCAGCCAGTGTTGAACAATGTGGGCAAGGCAGCGCATAAGGATAAGAGCGCAGCTTGGACATGATGAGCTTCTGAAGCGAAGTGAGATTCGTCTGCTGGTTGATTGCATGCCGTACCAGTGTGAAAACTATCACGCGCAGGCTTCAAGTAATGCCGGAGAATAGGTGCTATGATAAAGCAGGGTCGCCTTCAAGGACTTGGTTCCGAGCCTACCAGCTTCACCGAGCGGCGACACACGGGGTTTAGCGGCCTTCGGCCCACATGCAGGGCCCCCGGACTTGGTTTCTTGGGTGGGCGACAAGTTGTCCAGTTAGACAACGTGTGTCAGCGGCTGCTGATCGCACATGGTTAAAACATGCTACAGGCGTTGTCCCATATCGCCGTTGAAAACAGAACATGTATGTATGTATGTATTTGGCCAGACACAGGTTAATGCAACGGGCGCGCGCGTAACGCTTGGTATACCACCATGTTGTATGATCTAGCACATAAGAAGATGTGGTATTACATGGCGACACCTAGCTGCAAGGCCTGCGTTCGTACAATATGTCGCATTACGAAGTTCTCGCGCAATGAATGCTCACAACTAATATGAGGAAAACCTCTGGCAGTTGGAGCATCATATTAGAACGCTTCAAATCCGCCCTCTCTCGTTTTGTATACATTTGCACACTTCTTGATCGCACACAGGCAGGGCAATATGCCGCCCTGGAGGGCGATGATGAAGCATATCGTTTCGCCCCCCTGTAATGGAAAAACAATTGGCATTTGGCTGCCATTGCGCACGCAGCGCACCGCGAGCACGATAGGGATCCCGCGTTATGGCCAGGAGCCCCTGCTGATGAAGTCATGCCTGCCTGTTTTGCTTTCGCTGTGGCGGCGAGAAGAATTCGCGTGATTTGCACCCCTCGCGCCGAATACACGCGCCTTGTATCTCCGACAGAAGTTGCACGCAGCATAGTTTGCATGCGATCGGGCGGCACCGCCAAAACCAGGGGGACGCCGCACAAGCACAAGGATCAACAGAACGATCACCAGTCCCCTCAACGCGATTGGCGGTGGTGGAGCATTGAAGCGCGAATCGGTGCATACAAAAGCCGACATGCACTGCACGCGACAAGGGGGCCATAGGGGCGACGGCACAGCATGTCTTAAGAGGAGCGCATCCCTAGAGCCATGGCTGCCAACATGGTCTACCCTGCAGGTGCTGATGAGAGTTTCTTCCCGGTGGATGTGGAGAGCGCTAGATTTGGAAGGACATGGAGGGCAGATTTGGGACAACTGCATGCCAGATTGATGGGCGCGCTGCGCGGTTCGGCACTGTCGTCAACACAAAGGTTGTGCAGCCCGCTCGGGGGAGTCGCCTTCGGACCGCGCGAGGTACAAGCGATGACGGCCTGGGGTCAAACGCCAGGTGGCAGCAAGGTCTGACTGGCCCCACGTCTACCCCAAATCAGCGTATTGCTCGAGAGCCCCTCGTGAGAATCGCGGCGCTGCGAGGGCCCAAGGCGCCCGGGCCCACAGCCGGCCTGCAGAGCCGGCAGGGGCCTCCGGCCCACCAGCTTGGCATCGCTCGGACGTGTGCATTTTTCCTTCGGCGAGGACCATCGAGGAGCATCCTTGATCATTTGGCGAAAAAAACACGCACGAAACCGAAAAAAACACAGGGAATGAACGTCCGAGCGATGGCCCACCAGGGGGTGGAGCGCCATCCTCGTGAGGGTCGCGGCTTTGCGAGGGCCACAGCGCCCGGCCCACAGCCGGCCCACAGAGCCGGCAGAGCCCTCCAGCCCGCTGGGGAGGCACCGTCGTCGTGAGGGTCGCCGCTTTGCCACGGCCAGCTGGGGCGCCCGGCCCACAGCTGGCCCAGAGCCGGCAGAAGTCTTGAACATGAGCAGCAGGAAGGGCTCCCTCGAGGGCGCGAAGTTGTTCGCGCTTCGCGGTTCGGCTCCGATTCCTCCTCACCCTCCTCTTCTCCCCTGGGAGGCGGCGCGAGAGCGCGAAGTTATTCGCACTTCGCGCTTCGCGCAGCGCGAAGCGCGAAGTTGGGAGCCCTTGAGCAACGACTCCATCAGCAGCCGCATCATGACCACAACAACATGATAACAACCGCGTGAACAGCAACGGCGACACGAGCAGCAGCCGCATCGTGAGCAGCAATGGCGGCTTCAGCAGCGGCCACATCAACGGCAAGTGCATCAGCAAAGTAGTGACGAGCAGCAGCCACATCAGCAAAGCAGGCGGAGGTCTCCGATCACTAACTCTTGTTGCCAGGTAAGAGTCCTGATGCGGATGCATATTTGCGTATCTGGGAAATTCACATAACATAATCCAGACACTCTGCAGGAACGCAAAGAACACTTGTTCGATTGCTGCATGGACGTCTTGACGTCTGGCAGGCGCAAGGCCAATACAACATTTCGCATACCAGAAACGCCTGGTTTCGGCGGTGATGTTAAATTGGTGGACGGCGAACGACAAATCGAAGAGGGCTCGCCGGATCTTCATTATCTCAGCGCGGCCCCGTGCAAAATACGAAAATGATCCCCAACCGAAGTCTTCCGGGGAATGGTTTCTGGCTGTCGCGCGGGCGTGGAATCATGAGCGCGTTCAGCGCATATATATATATATATATATATAGATTTGCTCTGTGAACACGGCGTGAGAAGACGCAGGCGCTCGTCGCATGCTACCAGGGATGGATCGACGACGGCGCTTGAACGAAGAGGCAGCGTATTTTCCATGAGCAGACCTGCGCTGCGAAAGGTTGACGGTGCAGCCCCAGCGTATCCAGCTTGTTGGTAGGTCCGCGGCAACTGGGGGAGGAGGAGGAGGAGGAGGAGGAGGAGGAGGAGGAGGAGGAGGAGGAGGCGGAGGAGGAGGAGGAGGAGGAGGAGGGGAAGGAGGAGGAGGAGGAGGAGATGGTCGCGATGCAGCAACGAAGAATCTGTCAGACGGATGGCGCGCGCCAGGCCCTGCGGACCACGCGCGCGGCGGTTCGGCTACCGCCCCCCTTTATCGGGAGGTTTGGTGCATCCTTTCCTTTCGCTCCCCTGCTGTGGGACTTCTCAGGAAGCTGGCGCGCCACATCCACAACCATCATCCTCACCATCGCCTGCACCATCACCCTCGTCATCTTCGCTTGCCCCCCTCTGGCGGTCCTCAGCACCCTGCTCGCTCAAGACGAGTGGCTCGGTCGGGGCTGCTGCACGAGATCAGGAAGATTGTCGATCCATTCGTGAGAGCTCTGATCGTCAACAAAAAACTTGCCCCCCCTCTGGCGGTTCTCTTCTCTCGCGTTGTCCTTGTGCGGATCCCCTTCCTGCCCGTCCCTCCTCGGAGGCAACTGGCGGCGGCGAGGAGCAGCCGCAGCAAGCGCAGCAGCAGGGGGACGACGACGAGGAGAGCGGCAGCAGGGCCTCGTCTTCTTGCCAGCGCCCCCCGCCTGCCACAGGAGCCGCAAGTTGAGCAGCACGACTTTGGCCCAGCAGACCCACGTGCTCGAGGTGGCCCTGGAGGAGCTCGACAGTGCTGAGGGCCATGCAGGGCACAGAGCTGCACAGTACCCTCCCCTCCCCCAGCCTTCTCCATCTTCTCCCCCTCCCCTTGCGCAGGTTTCTCCTCTTCGTCCTGCTCCTCCTTGTCCTCCTTCTCCTCCTTGCCCTCCTTCTGCCTCCCATTCCTCCTCCTCCTCCTCCTCCTCCTCCTCCTCCTCCTCCTCCTCCTCTTCCTCTTCCTCTTCCTCTCCTCCCCGCCCTCCCTCCCTCCTCCGCTCCCTCCGTCCGCCCCCTCCTCCTCCTCCTCCTCACTCCCTCCCTCCTCCTCTGCTGCTCCTCCTCCTCCCTCCTCCCATCCTGCTCCTCCTTCACCTCCTCCTCCTACCTCCTCCTCCTTCATTATCTCATCCATCACTCACCATTCACCATTAACACCATCAACCATCACTCATCCATCATCATCCATCATCATCATCACATCAAAATCATCATCACATCATCATAATCATCATGCATCACATCATCAAGTCATCTTCACATCATCCCTTCCCCTCCCTCTTCCTCCTCCTCCTCATCCTCCTCTCGCCTCCTCCTGCTCCTCTGCTCCTCCCGTCCTCCTCCTGCTCCTCCTACCACCGTCCCCATCCTCCTCCTCTTTCCTCCTCCTCTCCTCCTCCTCTTTTCCCTCTCCTCCGTCCTCCTCCTCCTCCCTCCTCCTCCTCCTCCTCCTCATCCTCCTCTTCCTCTCCTCTCGCCTCCCTCTCCTCCCTCCTCCTCCTCGCTCCTCCTCCTCCTCCTCCTCCTCCTCCTCCTCCTCCTCCTCCTCCTCCTACTCCACCACCTCCTCCTCCTCCCCCCCTCTTCCTCCTCCCTTCCTCCCTCCACCTCCTTCTCTCTCTCCTCAATCCTTCTACTTCCCTTCCTCCCTCCACCTCCTCCTCCCTTCTCCTCATCGCCTCGCTCCTACCTCCTCCTCCTCCTCCTCCTCCTCCTCCTCCTCCTCCTCCTCCTCCTCCTCTCCATCTACTCCCTCCCCCCGTCCCTCCCTCCCTCCCTCCCTCCCCCTCCTCTCCGACGCCCTGGCACCCGCCCACCTTTGGGGCGAGTGGCCACCGGGGCCTGGCGGCGTGTGAGGTGTCTGCGACAACTAGAGCACTGAATCACTTCCCCGGGAGCCCAACGTCTCGAGGACGCCGGGGGGCTCCCAGGGGTACCGCAACACATACGAATTCAAACCAAACTGCTGCAGCAGGGGCGGCCCGGCGAGGAAAAGGGAGGGGAAGGGTAATGGGCCGGGGGGCGGCGGCCGTCGCGGTGGGCGGGCGGGCAGCCGGGGTGGCCGCGGAAGCCGTGGTCGTGGTGGTCGAGCTGGTAGTGGTCGAGCTGCTGGTGGTCGTGGTGGTCGTGGTGGCCGTGGTGGTCGTGGTGGCGTGGTGTTGCGTGCTGGTGGCCGGCCTGGTAGTGGCCGTTGTTGCTCGCGGTGGTCGTGGTGGTCGGTGGTGGTCGAGGTGCGTCGTGGTGGTCGGGCCGTGGCGGTCGTGGTGTCGAGCTGGTGGTGTCGTGAGGTGGTCGTGTGGTCGGTGGTACTCGTGTGACGTGGTGGTCGTAGTCCCTCTTCCTCCCTCCCTCACCCTTCCTCCCATCCCCTCCCTCCCCCTCCCCTCCCTCCCTCCCTCCCCTCCTGCTCCTCCTCCTCCTCTCCTCCCCTTTCTCCTCCTCCTCCTCCTCCCACCTCCTCTCCTCCTCCTCCTCTTCTCCTCTCCCTCTTCCTCCTTTCCCTCCCTCCTCCTCACCTCCTCCTCCCTCCTCCCCTCCTCCTACTCCTCCTCCTGCTCCTCCTCCTCCTCCTCCTTCCTCCTCCCTCCTCCTCCCTCCTCCTCCTCCCCCTCCTCCTCCTCCTCATCCTCCTCCTCCTCCTCCTCCCTCCTCCCCTGCCTCCTCCTCCTCTCCTGCGCCTTCCTCCTCCTCCTCCTCCTTCCCTCCTCCTCCTCCTCTACGCCTATCCTCATCCTGCTCCTCCTCCTCCTGCTCCTCCTCCTCCTCCTCCTCCTCCTTCGCCTCCCACTCCTCCTCCCTCCTCCTCCCCCCCCTTCTCCTCCCTCCTCCTCCCTCCCTCCTCCCTCCTCCCCCTCCCTCTCCTCCTCCCTCCCCTCCTCCCTCCTCCCTCCTTCCTCCTCCCTCCTCCTCCTCCTCCCTCCCTCCTCCCTCCAACCTCCTCCCTCCTCCATCCGCCCTCCTCACATCCCTCCCTCTCCTCTCCCTCCTCCCTCTCCTCATCCTCCTCCTCCTCCTCCTCCTCCTCCCATCCTTCATCCTGCTCATGCCCTCCTCCTCCTCCTCCTCATACCTCCTCCTCCTCCTCCTCCTCCTCCTCCTCCTCTTCCTCCTCATCCTCATCCTCATCCTCCTTCTCCTCCTCCTTTTCCTCATCTTCCTCCCTGCAAGTCCCTTGCACCCTGCTCCATCATTCGCGCCACTCGTAGCCACTGGGGGCAGAAGGACACTGGCTTCGGGTGCGTGCGAGGGTTGCTGACCCCACAGGCCACATGCACCGCGGCATCGCGACGGACGACGCGACGTTCTTGTCCGACGCCCACAAGACGAAGGAGGCCTTGTGGAAGGCGAGGGCCGCATCCACGCTGCTCGCGGAGCTCCTGGACAGGAAGGCGGCCCAGCTGAAGACGGGGAGCGCCTGATCGCGCATTCTTTCGCGCGCCCCCTTTTCGCTGACCCATCGTGTCGGCCTCTGCCGTCTTCTCTCATCTCCTCCTCCTCATCCTGCTCCTCCTCATCCTCATCCTCCTCTTCCTCGTGCTCCTCCTCCTCCTTCTGTTCCTCCTCCTCCTCCTCCTCCCACTATTGTACTTCGTTCGCTCTCTCTTCTCCTCCTCCTCCTCCTCCTCCTCCTCCTCCTCTTCCTCCTCCTCCTCCTTGTCCTCCTCCTCCTCCTCCTCCTCCTTCTCATCGCATCATCATCATCATCTTCTCATCATCATAATCATCATCATCATCATCATCATCATCATTCATCATATCAGTATATTCATCATCATCATCAGCTCAGCATCATCATCATACATCATCATCATCATCATCATCATCAGCAATAATAAATCATCATCATCATCATCAGCCATCAGCATCAAGCATCAGCATCATCATCATCAGCATCATCATCAGCAGCAGATCTCATCATCCTTCTTTCTCCTCTTCTCCTTCTCCCTCTTTTTCTCCTGCCTCCCCCCATCTCCCTCCTCCTCATCCTCCTCCTCCCCTCCTCTCCTCCCTCCTCCTCCTCCTCCTCCTCCTCCTCCTCCTCCTCCTCCACATATCGGGCTGTGCATAGAGCTAGTGTCCTCAGGTAGTCAGCTTTTCACGAGGTTTCTTGAGCTCCCTCCGAGGCTCCCTCGAACCAGTCGGTCCGAGAAGATGGCCGTTACAGGTTCCAAGTCTAGTGTTAATAATTCCAAGATGGAGCTTGCTAGGCAGAATGCACGTGAGAAGCGCAATCAGAAAATTCGGGAGTGGTTTGGAGATAGTTTAGCGTCCCGTAGGCAGGCAGGTGACGAGAGCCAGGAGGGTACAGACGACGAGGCCGACAAGGCCTCGGAGGTCTCCTGTGGCCACCACCTCACCGATTGGGACAGCATCTCCGAGTTCGACCCGTGGGCGGACGAGAGCAACTTCACACCAGCTGCGCCGCCCGCGGCCCCGTGTGCTGCTACCTCTCTGCCCCCTGTTTCAGTCGAATCAGGTCCAGTCGAATGTACCACACAGGCCCAGCCCAAGGAGACCGAGCGCCCCCCGAGTTGAACACCCAGCCCAGTTGAAGGTGAGGTCCACAAGTCTCACAATTCGGAGGTGCTGTCTCAGTCGGTGAGCCCAGGGTCCCCTGTAGAAGTCGAGGCCGAGTTCCAAGTTCATAGTGAAACGTGGGTGCAGGCCAGGAAAAACGTCGGGTTCACCCCGGGTGCCGCTTGCCTGCCTGCTGATGCCGTTGCCAAGTCCGTAGCATTGTGGCTTGGTTCTCAGGATCCAGCAGCACCTCACATCAGTTCACTTTGTTGTAGCTGGGTCCGCACGGTGGGGGGGGGCATCTACGCCCATCACCAACAGTCCGTTCCCATCCCGTCGCGTGGGCAGGCTGCGAATTTCCGCGTCGGCACCGTGCAGCAGTCTACATCACAGAGGTTAGAGCCCCTCCGCGACAAAGTGAGCGGGTGGTGGGCGAGACTGGCCACCGCACTCGCATCACTCTTCCAGCATCGTCGGCGAGACAACGGAGGTAAGCAGCAGCGGCTACTCGTGCAGGCCATCGACGCACCGCGAAGCAGTACGCCAGAGGAGGCACATCGAGTCCTTCGGAGGCGTGATCCTTGTACATGGGTGCAGTGGAAGTTGTTCCTGCGCGGGGTCGTATCGGAGTCCCCTCCTGAGGAAGAGTTGGCAGCTGGTTGTGAACTTGCAGAAAAGTTAGCCAGACGCAGTCAGCAGAGAGCTATTCATCAATCAATCGTATCATTCCGAAGCTGGGCAGAGACCACACCTGCGGTTGGCGCCCTGCACAAGGCTATTCGGTCCACGCCCTTGGCCTCCCTGAGCGCAGCTCTGAGGCCAGCGACCTCGATGGGCGGCAATGTCTCGTCCTGGACGCGGCGCCTGATGTCACCGAAGAGGTCTAGCAACTGCTGATGGTCCTGCCGTTGTGGCGCCCACAACGCCTGCCATTGCTGGGTTTTAAAATCGAGCACATCGCGTGGATGAATCAGCGCACGAGTCCCCACTTCGACTGGAAACCCTCTTCGGCGATGGGCGTTGATCGGCTATGTTCTCTAGATGTGGATCGTCTGCGAAATATCGCTCTGGCCGAATTGGCAGCATTGCTATCTCTTTGTGAATATCATCAGGTGTGGCCACATCAAGCGCTGATCACCATCGGCACTTTACTGCCAAAAAAATCAGCGGAGACCGAGTCATCGGTCTTCTTTCGCATTTCGGC